TTTTATCCCGCTGCGCCACCAGGGAGGGCCTCAAAAGTATCTTTAAATTTCTTTTTTGATCTCCACTCTTCAGTCCAATGGTCTTCCACTATGGAAAGCTGTGTGGAGGTTCCTTGGGCTACTAAGAATGGAAATACCATATAGTTCAGCAATTCCACTCCTTAGGAACTACCCAAAGGACAAAAAAACTTTAATTTAAAAAGATAATCTGGATTACAATTGAGATGGGAAAAATGTACAAAATGATGTAAAAATAAACTTATAAAAATAATAATAATAAAAAAGATAATCTGCACCCCTATGTTGATTGCAGCACTATTTAGAATAGGTAAGACTTGGAAACAACCCAAATGCCCAAAATAGATGACTAGATCAAAAAGATATAGTACATATACAAAATGGAATACTATTCAGCAGTCAAAATGATAAACTAATGCCACTTACAGCAACATGGATGGAGCTAGAAAGGATTATGCTCAGTGAAATTAGTCAGAAAAAAAAGAAAAAGATCAGATGGTTTCACATATAGGAGGAAGAGAGGGGAACCAAGTAAATGATCAGGGAAAAATAATAATTAAAAAAATACAACAAAAATAAACACACAATTATAAATCAAGGCATTCTGCAGGGGAGGGGGAAGGGATGAGATGGGGGCAGGATGAGCACAAGAGACTATGATGATGGTGCATGTATGAATTGGTGAATTGGTGGTGGAAATTCTATGAGGATAACACTTGAAAACAAATAATATAAAAAAATTAAAAATGAACAATTATGTAAAATAAAAAAAGTTACATTTGCCCATTGCACATTCCAATTTAATATTCTTCATTGTCTAAAACACTTAGGTGTGCTCATTAGTAGAAAACTACTGAGTCCCTTCAATTTCAGGAAAGAAATTAAAATGTAATCAAATATATCTTCCTCTAAAACTCGAAGTCATGCTAACCAATAAAATGGGAATTGGTTTGTATAAGACAAAGAACATAAACTTCAGAATTTAAAAAATAGGATTTGAATTTTCATCTATCTCTAGCAACTACATGATATTAGAAAAATTCCTCAACCTCTCTCTCTGAGCTTCAGTTTTCCCATCTAAATAATTGATGCATAATATTCATGTAACTAAATTATTTTGCAGATAAGAAAAGGTGATGGTTGTAAAGCATTCAGTAACCCTCAATATTTTTTAGGGAAGCTTTAGTGTATTGAGCCTTAGCACCTATTGAAATGTAAATGTATCCAATCTTTAGCAAGAGCAGACACCGTTCACCTAAAATTCAATTTTTAGCAAGTCTTTATTGATTATTTTTCTATGTAAAACATGGTTTTATCCATGATTTTTCAACATGAAGTGTGGTTAAAAAAGACTACTAGAGAAGCCTGAGTAGCAGTTTCTTACCAGATATAAGATGTCCTTCAAAGACGGAATCAATTAGATGCCCAGAATTCTGAGTATCATTTTGGGATGATTTCACTGTGACCTGGGGAACTTAAAAGGAAAAGTATGGTAACCACACCTGAAGCACAAAATCCTATATAGTGAAAAAATAAACAAGGATGTTAAAAAGGAAAATAGCATTATCTTCTTGCCTTTTGCACTCTGGTTACCTAATTTACTGTTTTTTCACTTGTTTGGTAATGATTAAAGTAAATGAGTTATTTTAGCAGATTTAAAAGATGACATAAAAGTAAACACCTTCAAGTTTTTGTGCCTTTGTTGAATATTTAGAAATAAATTATCAAATTCTATAAAATCATAAAAGTTAGCAATTTTATATCCACAGACAGACCCCCCCCCCCCGGTGGCACAACGGGTAGGGATGCAGCACTGCAAGCAGGCTGCAGCTGCTTCAGTGCGAGTTCTAACCCTGGCTCCTGAGGTGACCCACATGGCGTGCAGACCTCTCTTGGTCCATCCACTGCACCCCTCAGCAGTGTACTTCCTTGATCTGCCTGTTCTGCTACCTGCTCTGCCTCTGATGAATCTTCTCACCACCACCCCTCTACCTCTGGCTTGTACCCCATTTCTGTATACATAACTAAATAAAAATCTCAAAAAAAAATTCACAGACAGCCTTATGCAATATAGGGATCAAAGTGTGCTAAAAATATATCATGAACAATGGAATGTCTAAAAATTTTAAACTTAAGTGAAATCACGGAATTTCTGGAGCCATTTATGTGTGCGCACACACACACAGAAATTGTTACATAATTAAATAAAATACTTGAATAAGACAATTATTAGAAAAGAAATTAACATGCAATCAAATAGATCTCCTTCTGAAACAAACTCTAAGTCTAAATAGCTTTAAATATGAGTTGTACTTAATTCTCAAAGGACAAAGATTATCTTAGGTTAGGTTTCTTATATGGAGCCAAAGGAAGGTGAACAGTATCTCAGAGATTTTGCAAAGGCAAAAGTAATACATTTTACAGGATCTTAAGGAAACCTACAATTTACTGCATCATCTATAGGAGAGAATCAAGTAACCACCAATAATTGTAGATTTTTCTGGCCAGTGGAAGAAATAACCCCTCTGTCCTTTGACAACAGAAAACTTCCAAATTCAATTAAATCTAGAAATACAACACACACACACATATTTATGTATGTGTGCACATACACATTTCTTAAGGACTATAGTAGTATTTATTTAATTGAGGAGTAATTGACATACATTAGTTTTAGGCATTCACATAGTAACTTGGTATTTATACACAATGAAGAATAATCACCGTAATAAGTCAGCTTCCCATCTATTGGCAATTTATCAAATTTACAACACTGTGTCATTGTATAATGTATCTTTTCTTGCTTTACTTTAATTAAGTAAATCCCAACAGAGGAAACAGTGAAGGGACAATTAAAAACTACCCAGTTTATAAAACCTCAACTTTTTAATTCATGAGACTTCTAGGCACTTCTAGAGGGGTTATTTCTTCCACGGGCCAGAAAAATCTACAATTACTGGTGTTTACTTGATTCTCTCCAATAAATGATGCAGTGAAATCATGGAATTTCTGGAGGTTTCCTTAAGATCCTGTGAAATGTATCACTTTTGCCTTTGCAAAATCTCTGAGATACTATTCACCCTCCTTTGTCTCCATATAAGAAGGCTAATTTTGATTAGCAGACACTTTGAGGTTGTAACACAGGGGTAGAAAGCCATTAATGACTTCCCTCTGCTCCTTTCCTGCTGGCAAGGATCCTGACCAGCCCTGTCTAGTCATAAAGGCTAGTCAGGACACCGCTAATGAAAGCTTCTGACCTGGGTGTGGTAAGCTGCCTTGGCAGCTAACTCGCTTTCAGTCTGAACTCAAAGGAGTCCCGGAGTTGTCTTATTCATCTCCTCCCTCCTGATAATTAAAATTGCCAGAGGTGACTTCAAGGACACTATTCTCCCAGTTGACAGAAGACATTCCTGAAAATGGTTCTAAATGCTGGATCCCTGAAAGTGTCTTAAGCCCTATTTATTCAATCATTTTGATTTTAGTGTTCAAATTCCTCTTCTTAAATAATTGCTTTGGGGACAAGGGAGGAATTACAATTTTGAGGCATCCTTAACCGCCACAGAGATATCACAGATGTGCAGAACAAGCTATGTGACCCAGGTGACTCTCTTTAAGAAAAGCACTATATGGTTCGGATGAAAATGTTCCCTTTTGGGTCTTTGGAAATTTTTGAAAACAGCTGATCTGGGGTAAAGGCTCAATTGAAAGGTAGATTTCTAAGAACAATGAATAGGGGATTTTAGAAGATGAACACATCAGAAAAACCAAAGCACTTCTTCTGTTTTTATTCTGGCTTCTCTGCATCCAGAAAATGTGAATTGTAACAAATCAGTTTTGGGGTACTTCTTAATGCTTCATTTGTTCTCAAGTATATGGTTCCATCAAACTCTAAGGGAGCAAGGCTATACTCTAATGGCACATAGCCAGATTTATAAATACATCTAAATTAGTATTTTTTGGGTTTGTGTTTATTCTCAGAGATCCCAAGCAGGGTCTGCATCTACATTTGAAATTTAAGAAGAGTGGTATACATTAAAGAATATACATTAAGTGTCTATCACAATGTAAATATATGTTTTTTTTACTTTTTAAAAAAAGATTTATTCATTCATTCATACAGAATTGGGGTACAGGCCAGAGGTATGGAGGGTGAGAGGATTCTCCAGAGACAGACCAGGGAACATAAAAACAGATTGGCTGAAATACACTGCTGAGAGGACCAGTGGGCAATACAGGAGAGGTCTGCCACAACATGTGGGTCACCTCCCTGGCCGGGGATTGAACTCTTGCTGCAGTGGCTGTGACAGTCTCATAGTGCTGTGCTTTCACCAGATGAGCCAGCAGGGAGGGCCCATAAAAATAAATTTAATAAGACAAATATACATATAACATCTCAATTTGGCAAAATCATGGACTATTTTTGCTTTCACTTTCATCATTTTAAATTATTGGCTTTTTTAAATGTATTTTTTAAAAAGATTTATTTATTTATGCATACAGAACTGGGTTACAGTCCAGAGGTGTGGTAGATGAGAGGATTCACCAGAGACAGAGTGGGGAACAGAACAGGCAGATTGACAAAGTACACTGCTGAGGGGAGCAGTAGACGTGCCAGAAAGGTCTGCCATCCTCTCCCTGGCTGGGGATCGAACTCATGCTGCAGTGGCTTTCTAGAGCTTTGTAATGTGGTGCTTTAACCCATTGTGCCAATAGAGAGAGCCCCAGTTATTGGCTTCTAATACAGGTTAATGTAATTGTGTTGTATAAACTTCAGGGGATTATTTAGCAATAAAACTTCTGTTACTAATCTGTATCAAGTAAAAATAATTTTTATATTTGACAATGAATTTATTAGCCTGAATAGAGAATAAACACAATCTTCCTTTAACATCTTTTGTTATCACAGTTTCAAATCAACATGTTGGATGGATTTGAATTAGATAAAAGACATTTAAAAGAGATGGTAATTATCAGAGGGTAATTTTACAAAGAATCGTATATCTGAAGACAGATAATTCATAAACAAGATTGTCAGAGAAGAAATGAAGCCAGTGACATAGGCATAGGACGGAAATGAAGCCTTGTAGATATTTTTCATGGCATACTGCCACCAAGTGGCTAAGTCACTTCCTTTAAAGTCATACTTAACTATTTTCATTATAAAAGCAGCAATTGTAATAGAAAACATGAGTTTAGATGGACTTTCAAATTTGTCTTACAGAAGACAATATATTCATGGGGAATTTAGAGAGGTTTCAAGCAAAAAATATAGATTCTTATTCTTGGACAAAACTAGAAACCATATCATAACATTCCTTGGCCTACCAAATACCAGCCTGATTTAATCAAATCTGTTTCAAAGGACATGGTTTTAGCAATAATATATTCCATCTGTTTCTAGGAATGATACCAAATAAATCTCTTCAATTCTTCCTTCTATGCTTGACATGGGACAGAGTGTGCTTTGTTATTTAGTACAATTGTCCCTTAGTAATGGGGCAATTGGTTTCAGGGTTCCAGTGGATAAAAATCCATAGAGGTTCAAATCCCTTATAGGAAATGTCATGGTATTTGCATATAACCTAAGCACATCCTCCCATATACTCTTAAATCATCTTTATGTTTCTTATAATACCTAATTAATACTAGGTAAATGTAAATAATTGTTACACCATACTGTTTAGGAAATAATGACAAGGCAAAAAAGTATATGTATATTCAGTACAGACACAACTGTCCTCGCATAAATACACTGCAATGTTTTCGATCCACAGTTGATCTGATTCTTTAGATGTCATTCAGCAAATATGAAGGGCAGACTATACTAACTACTTTCCCAGTAACATACTAGACTATTATCTTTATTTTATGGGTGAGGAAACAAAGGTGTAAAAAGGATAAATGACTTCCCCAAAGTCACTTAGATAGAGGTCAAAGATAAAAATTCCCATCCAGCTCTGAAATATAGTTTTGTTGTCACTGGCGCTATACATTAGTTAATAAGCTCCCTGTTACAGCAGGCTGGCTGGGGGTGGAGAAAGCAGCCCTACAAGCTGCTGCTTTCACTTTGAGACTTAGTCATTTTTGCCCTAAAGGCTGACCACAATGTACTAAATCTGTGTGGCCTTATAGAGTTCCAGACTTGGCCGTAATGGGCTACCACTGGGATAATCCATTAAGTACTGGTTCTTAGAATCTTCCAGCATACAGTTATTTTCTCCCGAAAACACCTGTTTTCCTAGATTATATAAGCAACAAATAAATATTGTAGGGAGATTGAAAAGTATATATGAGTAAGGAGAAGAAAATATAACTTTGTATTTGCTCACAAACCAGAAATAATTATTTTAATATGTTAACAGTATTTTGTGTATGTCCGAATCCAGTCGTGATCATCATTACTCACTGTCTTCTTTTTTAAAATTCAACATTATATCATGAACATTTCTTCATTTTATAAAAGTAATTTAAAAT